GAGACGCCCGACTGGAGCCGGCATGAAATTGACTGCATTTTGCCATGTGTCAGTTGCACTGGTCGAAGAATCGGAGGGTATGGATTCGATCGACAAATTGTTAAAAAACCGGTGTCGATTCGATCGACATGAATCGATCGAAAAATGAAAACGTGAATCGATCGACATGAATCGATCGACAAATTGTTAAAAAACCGGTGTCGATTCGATCGACATGAATCGATCGAAAAATGAAAACGTGAATCGATCGACAAATTGTTAAAAAACCGGTGTCGATTCGATCGACATGAATCGATCGAAAAATGAAAACGTGATTCGATCGACATGAATCGATCGACACCGATTCAATCGACAGTTAATTCAAAAACACCCGTATCGATTCGATCGACATGAATGGATCGAAAAATGAAAACGTGAATCAATCGACGTGAATCGATCGACAAAATTTGATCGACTCACGGGTTTGTCGATCGATTCACGGGTTTGTCGATCGATTCACGGGTTTGTCGCTCGATTCACGGGTTTGTCGATAGAATCGGTGTCGATCGATTCACGTTTTCATTTTTCGATCGATTCATGTCGATCGAATCCATACCCTCTGAAGAATCATCCGGAGATGATTTGATTGAACTTCAAGCAAAGTAAGGGAAGTCGTACCTCGATTGCACTCATTGTGAGCTACATTAGTCTGCATAAGGGTGGTTTCACGATGACTGGAATAGTTTTGTCGCCGTAACAGACAACACATTTTTCGGTCGTGTTTTTAGTAGTAATGATAATCACTCGAATTTGTTTGCATTTATCTACACAGGGTTACGTGTTACAACGCTTTTATCGCTCTACTTTTCAATTTTAATACATAAATGACCGAAAATGTGCTGTTTGTTACGCTGACTTCTTACCGCGTAACAGACATCACATTTACGGAATTTACATTATACTAATTGAGAAGTAGAGCAACAAATCATTAGAAAGCGTTACAATACGTAACCCTTTGAAGATTAATGAGAAAAAATTCGAGTGATCATCATATCTACTAAAACTATGACGGAAAAATGTGTTGTCTGTTACGGCGACAAAACTATTCCAGTTATCGTGAAACCACCCATAATGAGCTCTACTGTAAATGAAAGGCTTGGAGGACAAAGTGCATAAGTGCAGTTTTTGAAAAAATGGAGATATTATAGATTTCGAGTAACACTAGTCTTGATGCATATTCTGTGAGACATTCGCTCCCGAATTCCAACAGGATGCCTAGTTTTTTTTTTGTTTTTTTTTTTTCATTTGGGGAAGTCCTGATGAAATTCTGATTTTTCCTGATTTTTGACTGATAAATCCTGATTTCATAATTTTTCCAAATCCTGATCAAATCCTGATTTTTGGTGGAGAAACTTTAGCTTCACAAAAATAGCTCGATGATAAATTCGATCGGACGGCCGACTATTCTCAAATCCTGATTTTACGACCGATTTTTCCTCAAATCTCGATGAAATCGGGATTAAATCCTGATAGAATCGGGAAAATCCTGATGCTAGACACCCTGTCCAATTTTTAAGCATCAAAAAGTCAGTTTGAACAATAAGGATCCGTGTAGTTTCGAAACTTCAAACACGTATTTCTCGAAAATGAGGAAATCACGGAGAATTAGGAGGAAAAACGGAGTGAAATGACAGTGTGACGAGTAAAGTGTCAATAGGGTAAATGTTGTGTGAGATAGTGTGTTTTTTATTCCATTTCCTGTGTTACCTGCATTTTTAATTAGTTATAAGTTTCAATAAATAATGAGGTCCTTCCCATAACCCTCGAGGCACCACTACAAATGAGACAAACGGAAACAACACAATGAAATAGAGCAAGGGAAAGGACGCGCGTTGATGACGGCGCAGAGATACAACTATTCGTACTTGATGGATGTCCGTGTTGCATCTGCCAAAATTACAGGCGCGATGGCACGAGGCGTGAACTAGCAATAATGCTCCGATCTTTACTGCCGATGAGGTGTCGCTCAGATTCGGGTGAAAAGTTTAAAAACGAGGCCCTTCGATACAGTCAAACAACGACTGGAGGATCGGAGGTTGCCATCGGTTACAGATTCCTCATCGCCCCTCATCCGGAAACTGCAAAGAAGGCTGATTATTGAAATTGATGGACAAAGCGATGGACAGAGAAGACAAAGAAAAAATAGAGCTGTCCTATTGGTGGAAGCGAGTGGTTATAACAGACTGCTTTAGTGACTACGTCATTCGATATAATATCGAACTTTTGGTTCGAACCAATCATGTGCGAATTCTGTGCGAGTTAAATTTGTTAATTAATTACAATCTAGTATTTGACAGGTCATAAATCAATTGAAGACTCTTTGAACACGAGAAATGTTGATTGTAAGGAACACTTGGGCGCATTTTATCACCATGGCGCGAATCAGCGCCAAGGTTATGTGTTTTTTTTGCAACTGGACTAGGACGTAGCCACTAAATTAGTCTATGGACGAAGGAGGTAAATAATAGACGACAACCCATAAGGGGATTGAGGGGCCTTTTAGTTAAGTAGTCTATTATTTGCGCTCTTCGTCTAGGAGAATCACCTGACTCAACTGAAAGAATCCCCCACTGGAAAAAAAAAACACATTGGATCTAGAGCCCAGACTCTTGAAAACATTGACAAGATAAAATACTCCTGATTCAATCGGATTTTTGCTTGAATCAAAACGAAATCCGCTTGAATTAAGAGGCTCGGTTCTTGATTTACGCTAGATTCTGATTGAATCAAGAGTACTTTTTCTTGTCGACGTTCTTAAGAGTCTGGACTCTAGATCCGATGTGTTTTTTTCCCCAGTGTTCAATTTCCCCTTTCTTCTTCCTGTCTTATTTGTCTATTGGTTCGTCAATGAGAGTCAATAATCAGCCAGCGACACGACGCAACGTATCTCTCGGGAGTGGCAAAGTCAAGGACGACGCATGGCACGGGTGCGCATCATGCAAGTACCGCTTTTTTGGGCGGCGTTTCGCGATGCGCTCCGGGCGCAGCGACTCCGACACACGTTGGTAATTGAGTCACTTGACACACTTCGGGGCGGAGGCGGGCGTCGCGACGCGGCGTCTATCAACCGCTGCGCTTGGAGCTTGAGTCGTTGAAAATGAAAGTGTTCCCTGTTTCTGCCTCTCCCTCGAGTCTTAACGTGGTTCAGGTTGGGTGCCTCTGAGTTACAGCGAGATTTTTGGGAACAATGTGAGGGCCAAGGCGGAGACGCCTCCTTTCGGACAGGACGACGAGTCCTGCAGGCCGATTATTAAAACTGATAGACAAAGCTATAGACAAAGACGACAAAAGGGATTTGGAGGGATCCTATTGGTGGAAGCGGGTGGTGGCAATAGACATAGAAGGTAGGTAATGGACTAACTAACAGCAACCCACCAAAGATCCGACAGTTAGTCCATTATTTTCTTCCTTAGTCTATAAGAACCAACCATGTCAACCAATAGGATCGCTCTATACTCCCTATGTCTTCTTCGTCTATAGCTTTGTCTGTCAGTTTCAATAATCGGTCCGCAGGGGGGGAAAAAACCACATTGGATCTAGAGTCCAGACTCTTAAAAACATCGACAAGAAAAAGTACTCTTGATTCAATCAGAATCTAGCTTAAATCAAGAACCAAGCCTCTTAATTTGAGCGGATTTCGTTTTGATTCAAGCAAAAATCCGATTGAATCAAGAGTATTTTTTCTTGTCAATGTTTTCAAGAGTCTGGACTCTAGATCCAATGTGTTTTTTTTTTCGAGTGAGTTTCCTTCAAAATTTTACCAAAAATTTCACCTGATTTTACCAGAAATGTCCTCCATATTCAGGGATTAGTCTTTTCTCCCTTTAACAATGATGAACAAAATTGCATTTTGTAAAAAGGAACCAAGAGCATTCAATGTCGCTAGGATTGTGCAAATTTTTTACCATGCAAATATAAACTGATCATCTGACCAAGTTTTAACTTCACTCCCAATAAATTATGAATTCAAGTCAAAAATCACCTTTGATAAAATAATCTTTTGCAAAGAATGCAAGTTGCACAACCCTAGCAGAATTGGATTTCTCTTGGTTCCTTTTTGCAAAATGCAATCCAAATTATGATTGACTCCCGATTTTTTCTTGAGAAGGGGGAATGGGCTTACTTTCCTTAATGAACAGGCACAAAACGCTACTGCGAGTACAATAATAAAAATCAGTGCAAGCTGTCGGTGAATATCGATGGTTTAGTTTTTCAAAATTTCCGATTCCTATTTTACTTTCTCGAGGAGAAACAAGCCAACGCAAAAGATTGAAATTCATACAAAATATTCTGCTAACAGAGACATGGAAAAAAAGTATTGGGGATAGCCCCCTACTAAAATTGTGGCATTACGCCTATTTGTTGGATGAAAATCACATTTCCAATTAATTGTGGTAGTGCTGCAACATTTGGGTTTGTAACCTGATTTATTGAGGTACTACCACAGTTAATCGGAAATGTCCCAGTTGGGACTTAGCCCCTACCTCTTTTTTCGGAGGAGGGAAAATTAAATAAGTTTTCAAGAAATTATGTTGACTAGTTTTCAAAGGAAAAAATAGAGTTTGACAGGAAGTCTGCAAAGTCGCAATCGGAAAGACGTGGTTTCGCACTTGGGCCATCGATAAGCGGATCCTCGAATTGCAAGTTTCAAGCTCCTGGCGTGACTGTTTTAATGCGACGGCTTTTCGAGCCTCAGATCGCCCGCACGTCTAGGATCGTGTCGTGAGACCAGAAATGCGAGTTGATGGACGATTAATGGTGCTCGGACGTCTCGTGGCTAGCGTAAGACAGTGGCGTAGCGTAATTTACGATGAATCGATTGGTCAGCCATTTACACCTATGGAAAAGGATCGATAGACAGGGTGCTCGCAAAGGGCACGTTAATGATCGATTCTTCACCACAGCTTCAAATGGAAAGATATCGAAAATCGATAGGATGTTGGAGTGGAGTTGGGATTTACCTTGAGTCTGGCTGAGCGTCTCTTCCTCTCCCATGGCCGCTGGAGAAGCATGTAAACCGGGTATGTGATGATGTCGCACATGAACGCCAGCGCTTTGATCGCTCCGATCGCACTGTCCACCCATAAATTATCCATGGCTCTGTCGACAAACAAATCAAAACAAATAAATTAATTTCGTTGCGTTTTGGAAAAACGAATTAACTTTATATTGAAATGAGGAGGTAAATCATCAACGTTAACCTTGACACGCATCGTTGAACCGTACAAATACAGGGTGTCTGCTGAACTGCGGGCCGATTATTGAAATTGATTGACAAAGCTATAGACATAGGAGACAAAAGAGATATGGAGAGATCGTATTGGTGGAAGCGGATGGTTGCAATGGACAAATGAGATAGGCAATAGACTAACTAACGGCAACCCACAAGAAACCCGACATGTAATCTATAATTTTCTCCCTTTGTCGATAGGAACCACCCATTTCAACCAATAGGATCGCTCCATACTCCCCATGTCTTCTTTGTCTATCGCTTTGTCTATCAATTTCAGCGATCGCCCCGCAGGCTTGCCAAAAAGCAGAATTTTTTCAGAACATTCCCAAGATATGCTGTGCCCCCTCGACGGAAAAATGCAGTACTTTTTTAGTACATCCATTCGACGAAATTCGAAAAATTTCGAAAATTTGAAATTCCCGCTCGAACTGCGACATAAATGACGTGACGTAACGTGGCTACAAAATTCCATTGGTGGTTTAAAGCTTCACTAACTGCAGAATTGCGATCTTTCAGGCAAATACTACTCTAAAAATCAACACGCAGGGGATTCAATGCTTTCCGGGCTTTTTTTAAAAACACGCGCAGTGTGAAGAAAAAAAATTCTGTACCTTCTTACAGAATTATTCCCACACTTTTTCAGTGCTTCCGGACCGAACTTTAAAATTGAATACTATTTCCGGACTTTCTGGAAATTCCGGACTAGTAGACACCCTGAAATAGGTATGGTGCAAACTTTTGCTGGAGTGGAGAGAAATAGTCTCTGGAGGAAATTGGCTGAAAATTAGCTATCAAAGCATTGGAAAAGTCTGAAAAATCAGGATTACAACAGAATTTCGAAAATGAAATTCCTCGACATCTCCCTGACAAATTTTGGTAAAATTCCTCAGTTGAAGATAGGTAGGCAAGATAGTTAACAAGACAAACTTTGAAACAGTGTTTAGGAAAAATTTGTTGTTCGAAATGTCAAACCCATTCTAGAGAGCAAATATAGGGGCGACGAACAATTTTTCCCTGACACTTTCGTCATTTTCCCTGAAATTTCGCGGTATTCCCTGACAGTGGCAATCCTGTAACATTCACTCCTGATTTCATCATCTGTGCAATACATTTGCGCATTATGAACTGTCCGCGCTTCAAAATGACTAAAATCCAGGCATTGAAAGGACAGTAATAAGTTCGTAGTCGCGATCAAAACAAATAATTGATTTTACTTTTCCCCCGGTGTGCTTGACGTTTCTACTTGTTTACTTATAAGTATTACCTAAAAAAACGCTTATCTAACTCATGATTGCAATAATCGCGAAGCGGCAAAAAATTTGACCTCCACAAATGCCCTTACTGCAAAGATTAAAGTGTAACACCTCTACAGCGGAGTGTCGGTTATTTATAAGTGCATATCGTAATCCTCCGCTTTTGTGGGGCTATTGTTTCGGGAAAGATAACTTGGCTTCGATCGATTTTCCTTCGACGCAGAAAAAGAACGCGAGAAAGAAGAACAATAGAAATAACATTGAGAGCCACGATGAAGACGAATCGGAGAAACTGATGGACAGAAAGCACAATATTAACTTTCTGATTGCTTTGGATCCACGGTCTACCTGCCGTGCTAAGGAAAAACGCCGTATGAACCTTCAGGCGTTGTCACATTTCCTTCAATATAAAACGAATTTACTCGGAAAATTGTGGGTATTTTTCTTCAAATTTTTCAAGTGATTTTGTTCGCAATTTGATCTAAAATATGTGAAAATTTCGAAGGAAAATATGCGTAATTTTCCCGAAAAATACATGTTCTATCCGGTGAAATTTGGCAACTCTCGAATGTTCATACGGCGTTTCTCCTTGGCAAGGTAGTATTGATTCGACAAAAAAAGTCGAAAAGAGACCCCTCAGAGAATCGACACCAACTTGACCTGCACCAGTGGCGATTCTTAGAAGTGCGCAACGCTGTTTTTCCTCCATTTGAATCCATCAAAAATATCGATTTTGGGCGAGGCAAGCTGCCTCACTGTGAATCGATTATTATACATATATTTAAACGGAGGAATAGCAGTGTTGTCATCTTTTGAGAATCGCCACCGACCTACACCAAGTAAACTGCCATTTGACGTTCCCGTTATACGAATCCGTACCCCGTAGACAAGGGTAGTTATCCAGAATGATGAAATTATTACAATTGTTACGATCCTTCGTTTGTAAAGCGCACTGAAAAATAACTCCAGCCGTGGAGGCCGTATTTACGGGCTAAATAGACATGCCGTCCACGTTCTGGGCTCAGAGACCAAAATTTCCGGGCGTAGCATCCTGAAAAATCGTAGCTACGGCTCTAGCACCAGGAACTTTCGGCCTCAGAGCCGGTCGGTACACGGAGAAAAAAACTTCGTGCGTGGGACCCGAAGTTTAGGTCATATGGATCTCTCAAGTTTTAGGGTTGAGCATCTGAACACTTTAGGTCAAGCTGCTGAGGTTTGGATCACATATCTGAAACTTCAGTTCTTACATCTGAAGTACTTCGGTTTTCACATCCGAAAAACTTCGCTTCTCACATCTGAAGTACTTCAGATGTAAGAACTGAAGTTTCAGATGAGTGATCCGAACCGCGACAGCTAGACCTGAAGTGTTCAGATGCTCAATCCGAAAACTTCAGAGATCCATATGACCTAAACTTCGAGTCCCACGCACGAGGTTTTTTTCTCCGTGTATGCTAATATGGTTTGTAACTTTTTTTCGGTGCAATCATCGCAAATCGCAAGAATGACGGGTTTTCGCCAGAGACAAGAGACCCTCCAATAGTATCTTGGCCATGGTGGAAGCTTTTACTTTCGGGACTTCAGCATTCCACTGTTGACTTGACTACATGGTTGATGTTCAACAACGTGTTGGCAGTTTCGTTTTGCAAACAAGCCGAAAATGGCCAACGTTTGGGAGAGTTGTTTGGCTCATGACGTCATCCGAAGCTCATCATCGACCATGTAGGTAAGTCAACAGCCAAAACTAGGGTGATGACTGTTGCTCCCTAATAATTGTCCATAAAGAATTGTTGAAACCCCGAAAGTAAAAGCTTCCACCTGTCGCTAGGAGGCCAGTGGAGGGTCTCTTGTCTCTGGTTTTCGCTAATTCAGTCGATTGCTATTGCTCGGTGTCCGTTACGTAAAGGCACTGCGATGACGACGAAATAAACGATGAGCGTTTTGAAAAATGTTGCTTCCGAGTGGCCATTGCGGAAAACGCGGCGTCGGTCGCGTCGAGGAGGGAACTCAACGCAAAGAGGAGTAATTAGTCGGAGCAAGGTCGGTTAATTATCGCCGATGCAATTCCCATTTTTAATGCTCGTGATTGATCGATCAAGCTAACCGGTCCCGCGGCCCGGTGTCCAGTGCATTTCTACGATTCGATCGCCGGTTGCTGACAACGATCGAGGACGACCAGCGGCTACTGAATCGATATCGAATGACCTAGATCGATAGAAAGCATTGCTAAGATAGTGATTTGTCGATCAGGATCAATCGATATCGAATGACCTAGATCGATAAAAAGCATTGCTAAGATAGGGATTCAACGATCAGGATCAATCTATATCGAATGACTTGGATCGATAAAAAGCATTGCTAAGATGGAGATTTATCCATCAGGATCAATTGATGTCGAATGATCTAGGTAGATAAAAAGTATTGCTAAGATAAGAATTTATCGATCAGGATCAATCGATATCGAATGACCTCACCGGGAAAAAAAACACATTGGATCTAGTGTCCAGACTCTTGAAAACATTGACAAGAAAAAGGACTCTTGATTCAATCAGATTTAAGCTTAAATCAAAAGGAAATCCGCTCAAATTAAGAGACTTGGTTCTTGATTTAAGCTTAAATCTGATTGAATCAAGAGTATTTTTTCTTGTCGATGTTTTTAAGAGTCTGGACTCTAGATCCAATGTGTTTTTTTGTTTCCAGTGCTAGATCGATAGATAGCATTACTAAGATAGGGATTTATCGATCAGGATTAATCGATATCGAATGACTTGGATCGGTAAGAAGCATTGCTAAGATAGGGATTTATCGATCAGGATTAATCGATATCGAATGACTTGGACCGATAAGAAGCTTCGCTAGGGATTTATCGATCAGGATCCAAAAATCAAAGTTTCCTTATTGCTAAGATACCTGTTAGGGGTCGCTATTTGTCTCTATAGAGGGAGCGAGAGAGAAAGAGAGAGAGAGAATAAGTGCCGCCACAAAGCAAGAAAGCACGCAGTAAATGTAATTGCTCTTAAAAATATGAACAAAAGTAGGCGCGGCTCGGAAAAACCGCAGCAAGAGAGCATTTGCGGGAATTTGCAGGTCATCGCTGAATGACATAATAATCGTGACCGTCAAACTGACTTTAGTTGATGTGCAGCGAAAACAGAGAAGAAGAGAGAGAAAACAGAAAAAGGAGGGAAAGAGGAAAGAGGAGGGAACATGAGGTCGAGACCTGACGGTATATAAATTTCAAAGCGGATATGACGTCTAGAGATAAAGTGCAAGAAAACTACGAAGAGTGCTATCAATGAATAATAATTGATAAAATGAATGGTCATAATTTCTCAGTTCGCTCAAAATTTAATTTCCATCGACTAAGATGTGACATAACAACTATTTTTTTTTTTTACTGTATCATGATCATGAAATTGTACTATTCATAGTATTTTTGTTGTTGCTGATTGAAGCTGATAAAATTGTGAAGTTTCTGAAATATTTTTTAGTGACTCTAACACTCCATGGCACATTGGGACGCACTAGAGTACCTATATTGAGAGAGTATGGCCACTGGGGTTACCACCTCTGATTGGCTCAGCCATCTTAGGCTGAATGGAGTCCTTAGGACCCAA